GTCCAAGCCGTTGGAAACGGAGAATTTCCTGTCGCCGACCTGGTGGAACACCAGGTGGAAGTGGGCGACAACGACGTGCCGGTGCTCAAGACCGCCACTGGAGCGGTGTGGATTCCGACGTCTGCCAGTGACCTGCAGATGCGGTTGTGTGTGGTCGCGCATTTTGGTGTGGGAGGACACCGTGGGATCAACGCGACGAAGCCGATACTGGTGGATCGATTCTGGTGGTCCGACATTGCCTCGGACGTGTCGTACTTTGTGGGCCGTTGTTTGCATTGTGCCAGTACGGGTGGTCATGTTTTGCGCCCGTTTGGTGCAACGGCGCATGCCACAAAGCCCAATGAAATCCTTTATTGGGATTTTCTCTACATGGATGGCGGCTATATCTTTGTGGCCAAGGATGATTTTAGTCAGTTCAAGTGGTTGTGGGAATCCGACGTGGCGAACGCGCAAGTTGTGGCGCGTTGTTTGCAGCAGTGGTTCAGCGTTTTTGGCGTGTGTTATCACTGGGTGAGTGACCAGGGATCCCACTTCAAGAACGAGGTGATTGCTGAGCTCAAGCATGTGCTGGGGGCATATCATCATTTTACCACGGCCACATGCCCGTGGGGGAACGGAACAATCGAAAGTGCGATGAAAACGACCCTGAAGGCGTTCCGAGCACTCCTGTCCGAGTGGTTGATGCAGCCAGACCAGTGGCGGCTGATTGTCCCAGTGGTGATGTTGGTCCTCATCCAAACTCCGTCCGACACACTCGTTGGTGTGGCACCGATGACTGTCATGACGGGTATCCGAGCGATGTCGCCCCTGGATCGCATTCCAATTCCGGCGGCGACAAAAGTTACAACGTTACACGACTTGCTGTCGTGGCGAAATGATGACATGGCGGCGATGGCAACCGCCTCGGACAAGATGCATGCCACGGTGTTGGACACTGTGACAAGAAAGCGTCAGCAAAACCGAAAGAAGATCAAAGAGAAAAGGTGCGGAAATGGCCCAGTTCGACGTGGGCGATTTTGTGCTTTATATGGACGTGTGGTCGATTTCGCACTCAAAGCTGAATGTTACATGGCGTGGACCAGCTCAAGTGGTCAAGACAACATCCGACTCGATTTTTGAAATCCAAAATTTGGTGACGGAGGTGGTCCGTGAAGCCCACAGCAGTCGTCTCAAGTTTTATGCCGACGACGCCTTGGATGTGACCGAAGAACTGCTGCACCACATTGCGCACAACGCCGACGGCCATGTGGTCGATCAGTTCCTCGACTGCCGCTACAACGATCTAATGGCCGCTTTTGAAGTGTGTGTGCGCTGGCGCGGCCTACAAGCAATTCAAGACTCGTGGGAGCCGGCGGCCAATTTGTTGGAAGACATTCCAACTGAGTTCAAGCTACGTGCGCTCAAACAAGGCCGATCCCCAAGTCAAGGCGATGGCAGCTGCGTTGGGCGTGACGCAATCATAGGGGGGATTGTTGCGAATTTGCCCTTCGCAGAACCCCTGAACCCCTCCCAAGAAGGTATCCAAGTGTTCGATTAGGTTGGATATCCTGGGTGTGATCCTATTCGCTAGTTAGATTATTAGCTGCCCAGCAGCTGTCTGTTAGGGTTAAGCCCCAGTGTCTACTTGCCACTGGGGGGAATTCAGTTTGTGATTTGCCTTTGGATCGGACTTCGCAAGGTCCGTCAGAGACGCAACAAGGGGGAGGGGGCATGCTCCGTTGGTCGAGAAACCAGTGTCTGTGATGTGGGCACCGTACACGAGCTAGCGGGTGTAGTGCTGGGGCAACGCATGCAGGCGCTCGTTCCACGCGACCTGGTCGTCGTTGCATCTGTTCAGGCGCCAACTTTCAGTGTGCTCCCTACAATAATCGCAATAAGGTTAACATCATCGGTCGGCGAGGTTGGCACATGCCGAAGGACTACTGCCGTCATGGCCAATGCCGGCAGTCATCCTTCACCATACAAGTGTCACATGCAGTCGTGTCGATGAGACACACAAGATAGGACTCATGGACTCACTATAACTTAGCGTTGAGTGGCGCTTTGCGCTGTGTGCATGCCATTGCAACCAGGTAATCCTAAGCGAGTTGGGGATTGTATGCACATGGAAATATATTGCTGATTGTATGCTGGCCAGAACTCTAACCAATCGGTCAAATCTGACGAATAATCTGACTTTAGGGCGCCCAATAGCGTCGACGCTAGAATTTAGAGTCCCGCGGTGGGAGAATTAAAGAGCTAAAATCTGACTGAAAAAATACAGTTTTGGAGTTTTAGCGCCACGAGTGGGGATACTCTAAGAGCGGAGCTTTCTTCTTTCCACACAACGTAGCTGGTACGAATGCAAAGTACAACGTAGCTGAAACATTCATTATACATTGCTAGTATATGGTATTCCAAGTCAGATACATCCCTATTCGCCTGCTAGACACGCTTAGAGAGTAAACGCAGCCGTCGTCACACCAACGATGACACTGACTCCTGACATCGACAACACAGAAGACTGCGCGGTCGTGGTCGGGGTGGCATCAGGCGCTGCGGTGAAGGGGACGGGGGACACGGACAACAACGTTAACGGCAAGCCCCTGACGGCACGGCAGTTGTGTTGGGAGCCGCGGTGGTGGTGGGAGCAGCGGTGGTGTAGGATGCGGCACTGGTGGAGGGGGCGGCGGTGGAGGGGGCGGCGGTCGAGGGGGCGGAGGGCGCCGACGACAAGGTCAGCTGCTTGCCGTCCACCACGACCGTATTGGATAGTGTCACGCACTTCAACTCGTTAGTGCCGTCGTCCACACCGGTCACGGTCGCACCGAAGCCCTTCTTTCCTCCCAACAAACGCGCGTTTTCCGCGTAATTCTTGGCCAGCGCGGAGCCGGCTACACCCAACTGGTACTTGACCGTGTACAGGTTGGATCCGTTCTCGGGAGGCGCCAGCAACGTGTACAACGAGTCCACGCACGACTTGACGTCCACGAGACAGTGGATTGAGTGCTCATCGGGGCCCTCGAGTGTCTTCACTGTCGGGTTGTCCATAAGGTTCACCGAATCGATGCATAAGTTGTCCATGATGAACCCTGTCGCGGTGACGGTTTTGCCCTCGGCCGAACAGGTTTGGGCGGATGCGCCAGTCGCCATGGACAGCAGCAAAAGGAATGTCGCGAGGAGGAAGCTGGAAGGTTGCATTGTTGACGAATTGTATAATGGGAGTTCGGACATATTGGCTCGGGTAAAGTCGAGGAAATTCATCGTATATGTGTATTTACACCTGTCGAACACTTCCATACATTTGTTTTTTGGCTTCAAACGTCTCCCCAAAATAATCTGAGCAACATCCACCGAGTTCCAAGTTCAACCTTCGAAGTCAGGGCCAGTTCGAAGTAGATTGACCGAAAATGTCAAAAAGGCGTACGAAATACTGATTGTCTCCGGACATTAACTGTAAAATTTTACTCACTGTCAACGCTTATTGGATGACTGCCAAAAATCTCGCAAGTGCCTCTCGCATCTATATTTGTGATCTGGATAACGCGTAATACACCTTTTTTCGGTTAATTTGAGGACTTTTTCGCGAAATGAACAAGCAATTCGCGGCGGTTCCACTTCGTTTATTCGTTTCGTTATATTTCGCCTGCAACCAAGAAGGTTGCAGTATATTTCAAGCAACGTTCCTTATGTGTCACAATTCCGCGAGTGGCTCAATATATTTCGGGATGCAATCCATATATTTCGAGCGAAAATAGTAAGGAACCCGAAGATCTCGCGGGCTTTCGCTCATTCTTCAAAACGACGGACGATGGAACAAGCCCCTCCCGCAGCGCTTGTGTTGGGGGTGGGGGCAGGGGGTAGAACACGCACACAAAGGTAGAGCTCAGTTCGAGGTAAAACTAGGAAGAAAGCCAAGGCTATATCATTTCAAGCCCCTCACATCCTTGCCCAACAACACATACAGCCACACAAAACATAAGCTATGAAGACCTGGCGTAAGACTTGGTCTTAATGTCGCATGACACTGCCTCAATGTTCCTACAACCGCCTCAATGTTCCTACAACTGCCTCAATGTTCCTACAACCATACATTCCATCTATGGTTTGATTGTGCCAGTGGCAGAGCTACTTGACTTTGAGCTACATACGGAGACATTTCGCATGCATGATATATTCTGAAACTTGCCAGGGGAACAAGTTTTGTATCCTGCTATTGGAGATTTGGTATGAATTTCCGGACCCCGTTCAATCGAATCTCGCCGAGCGCCAATCTCTCCCATTGGTCAATCAGAAATTACTTGTCTCTGATTGGCTACAATCCATTTTCGAGTTTCTACTGGAAAGGGCGAAGTGGATAATGGCCAATCAGATGTCTCGGCTCTATTTCTGCTCGATTGAACGAACCATGCAAAATTGGGAAATTTGACGAAAATGGACAATATCTCATGTATAATACTCCCACTCAGTGTTCAGCGATACCAATAAACTCAAGTCGTGTATGCCCATCCTTTCCCTTTGTAACGTTAACTCAAATTGCCCCACGGATAATGCCTTTGTCAGTAGGTCTGCTAGCATTTCCTTTGTATTGCAGTACTTAATTTTGATACGCTTGTTGTCCACTAAATCCCTTGTGTACAAATACCTCGTTTCAATGTTTGCTAAATGTCTCTAATGTGCTTTGTAGCTTTGTCATTGCGAGGATTCTGGACAACACTAATAGGTGATTAACTGTCGCACCATACATATACTGGTGCCTTTAATTTAAACCCCATCTCGGCTAAATGATGCCGAAGCCATTCACTTTCCTTGATCCCTCATTAAGAGCAATCAACGCTGATTCTGCAGTAGACAGCGCAACACAAATCTGTTTGCAACTGCACCACGAAATGCATGTTCCAGCTAATAGTACCAAATATCCAGTGATACTCGTTCGATCTTTTTCTCGATTCGCGAAGCTCGCGTCAGAATAGACCTCATACTCTAGTCCATGTTGACTACCGTCGAGTAGAAGTCCGTACGTTAACGTTCCTTTCAAGTATCGAAGTACTCTAAGGGCTGCTTCCCAATGAGACTTATTGTAGCACGATAGAAATCTGCTAAGTTCTCGTACAGCATTTGCAATATCAGGTCGCGTACCACGAACTAGATACTGTAACGAGCCTACAATTCCTCTAAAATCGTACGGTTGCGCTGCAATCTGTTCAGCATTCAGCTTCCTTTCGGGTTGAAGGTCAACTCCCACTACTTGGGGTGTCGAGGCAACCTTACAATTTTCCATATTAAATTTCCTTAGCAGATCCTTGATGTACTTTTTTTGGGAAATTGTCATTTGCTTATTGGTCCTGTCTCTTGTAACCTCCATTTTCAGGATGTAACGAATCTCACCAAGGTCTTTCATATTGAATATCGCTTGGTTAGCTCGTCCTTCAGTGTTCACGTTGTCAAGACACTTAGCCATGATAGTAAAGTCGTCAACTATAACTACCGTTTCATCTCCCACCTTTTTGACATACAAGCAGTACTCCTTGTAGCACCGACTAAAACCTATGTTTGTCAAAAATTCATGCAGCATCAAGTACCAAATTTGTGGCTGCTTCAGTCCATACAGTCATCCGCCGATTTTTTCAGGCCTCGACCAAATATAGCTTTTCGGAGGTACTCATATGAAAGGTCTTGGATGGGTATACCTTCACACTAGATAAGGAGATTAATCACATTTGATGAGTACAAATTAATCGTAAAAATCCGAATACCCAACACGTTTTGTGATATGTAGTCGCCCAATTTCTCAAAGCCAGTACACTTTCAGTATTATTGCTATGCAGTGCTCGAATTTGTACCGACAGCCATGTCGTCGTGTATCTAGAGTTAACCACTTTGTAAGGATTCGCATGGCTAATGGACAACGCTCGTGTTATCGTGATATGTATGACTTGGTGCTAGCACCGCATTTGAGTTCCTACTATCTCCTCCCTATTAATTACTCAATAGCCTGTTTAATTGCATATTCGATGGGATTACACAGGATATTCGTTTATACCATGCTGCAAAAATCGGGGGATGGCTGAATATACTTTTTCGTAGTTCACACACATGGTTCTCCTTCCCTTTAATGGCATACCCAGGGGGCTGTCGCATATACATTGTCATGCTTTCAGTCATTTGCCCGTTGAGGAAGGCTGTATGCACATCCATTTGATGGATATGCCAGTCTAAGGTAACACCAATACTATGTACAAGTCGTAGCGACACAAATCTCGCAACAGGAGCATATACTTCATCACAGTCGACACCAAATACTTAGTGGCAACCTTGAGCTACAAGTCGCGCCTTATATCGTTCAATTATCCCATTACTATGATAACGTAAAAAACCAATTTACAGTTAAATAACTTTTTTGGAGGCGTCGGAGTAGAATGGACACAACTTTTGAGGCCATTACAATATTTCAGTTTTGAGTAGTTATTCCAATTGACAAGACGCGCTGATTTTACTTTATAATCGAATTATCTGTTTAGATGATGAACTTCACAGGTAAATTTGATACTTTCTTAGCATTTGTACTCACATTTTTGATAACCAATTTAGGATAACTTTTTTATCTTGAAGCTCGACAAAACCTCAGATCCAACCCAATGTCAAAACCTCAGATCCAACCCAATGTCAAAACCTCAGATCCAACCCAATGTGGCCCGTGTCGACTAGGGTACTTCAACCCAATCTTAAATGACTGTTACCAATGGAGGACTACCAAAACCTCCGCAATTTATTTTGCTACAGTTCGCAAATTAGAATATTTTTTTCGAATGATAATACCGGTTGCATTTTGCAGACACCCCGAAACGTGTCAGCAATATGCAAATATGCAACAGATATTTCCACCCCACAAACTTGTAACAAATTATAAAGGATATATTTTATTGCCTCGTAGCGCAGCTCATTATTTTACGAAGAAACGTCTGCCAGCGCCGCGTAATGCAGCGGTGACCGGCTTCCTGCTCTCTGGGGCAACGGTGACAGGCAGCGGAATGCAGGAGTGCCTCGATGATAGAGTACATTGTAGTATTGCTGCGGCGGACAGTGAGGTGCGTAATGTAATCATGGTGGACGACTGCTGTGATATCCACCGGTGCACACAGTATGAGAAGAAAATACAGCGTTTGCGTTGGTCGAGTCGTGAAAACGTCTGGTGTACCTGCTGCGCTATATTGCATTGACTTTCACTGTCGCTGTACCCCACACGCTCGGCGGCAGCGGACTACCATGGCCGTCCTCCATGGTCGCTGCACTTCCTTTTCCATAGGTCCATGGCACATCATTTCTCCATCCACCATCTTCGTTGCGCTCTACCGCCTTCCACCCGCCGAGTGCGCGATGGCGGGTGGTGGAGTACAGCGACGATGGTGGACGGAAGAGTGTTGCAGAGGAACCCTTTATCGTCGCTGTACTACACCCTCCTCTGTAGACTCTTTAGTGTATTGCTCCGACGCTTCACTACACTGTCTGCTGACACCGAGTGGCTGCCCTTCCATGCCTTTGACGGCGGGTCCAGTACGCTATAATGGCCACGTTAAGTAAACTTCACATGTTGTCGTGTCTTGGCAATCAAGTGTACTTTTTACCAATCCTATGCATATATTGAAGTATTTATGGCCAATGAACTGTGACCTGTAGTATAATTTGGGGAGGTTTTGTTTGTATCTCATGATGCAATTTCTGGCGCATGGGCTTCGACATGATTAAAAATTAAGCCCTATCCGGATGCGAAATGGTCTGGAAATGATATTTGCGGAATTTTTGGTTGTCCTCCAATGGTTTCTACAATGTACTCCCTTTTTGCATCTCATTCACGTGACGGAATGGTCAGCATTATATGACAGAGGTTTTGACTCGAACAAATAACGAGGTGTGATTGGGTAATACAATGTTATCCTAAATTGGTGAAGTTATCTTAAATTGGTTTTTTGCGTTATTTACAGTTAATGTTAAATACCCAGTGACATGGGAGTGCCTTTCTCCCAACGGGTAATTGGACCAATTTCCATGTTGAGTTTCCATCAAGGAGTTATACTCTGTATTGAGTGCAGCCACCCATTGCACTTTCGCAGGCGACCGACTGTAGCGCCGCCCTCAACGATCGTGGTATAACTAGATCCACAGATCATTTCATACTATTTAAATCTCCCACTAATCGTCCA